CTGAAGCCCTAACCAGTCCAGACCCTCCTGTATCCCCATCTCCCTTGGGAACTCTGCTCTTAGTTCTGGCCCATCTCTTTCCCCATCTCCCTTGGGAATTCTGCTCTCAGTCACTCATCTTGTGACAATGTATTTCATTCTCCCATGTACAGGTCCCTATGACTCCCCCCAAAGGGTCCATTCCTGTGCCGATTCCATACAAGTACAGAAAGTCTGACATAATTGTGAACTAAGGTACACATTAATTAGCTCAATATTGCTGTTTCATAACAAACTTGTAGATCCAAACATCTACAATTTGTAGACAGTTTTATAAACTTTGAGTAAATAAGCAAATGTCACTGTGAAAGACTTTCCTCTCTACTCATATTAACTTAACATCATGCCCCCTTCTCTCCCCACCTACTTACCCTGCTTTCTTAGGGGTATACTACTGGACATCAAACTGCTATGGGAGATTCTTGGCCCGGATGGTCCCGCCGCCCTTCTCAATCCCAAATAAATGCACAGATGCTATATTAAGAATAAATCTGTTGGCCAATGACTAGGGCTTTTTATTGACTAGCTCTGCCTTAGTTATTAACCCATTTCTATTAATCTAAGTATTTCCAAGTGGTCTTATCTTAACTCCTTCCTCTGCTACATGGCATCCCTCTCTCTTCCTACCTTCCCCAGAATTTTCCTCATCTTAGTCCTGCCTATCTTCCTGCCTTATTGGCCAACAGTGTTTTTTATTCATCAACCAATAAAAGAAACGTATACAGAAGGACATCCCCATCATCGAACAGAATGTATTTACTTATCTGTTGCTTCCACTGAAGAATGGGGTCCCTTGTAGTAGTGGTTTTATTCATTTCATTACTTATCCTATGAGCTTTGCCATATAATCACTGACCAGTCAATAGGTGTGCCTGAGTTAATTAAGTCTTCAGTAAGGATACTTGCATGGTGATCTATACCTTAACTCTGATTCAATCATTGACTTGATCATTGAGCATTTTTTACACATTGTTACTAGAAGGGACTGGACAGATGGTTCAGTGGTCGGGAGCCCCAGGTCCTCAGTCCCACGTAGCTGCTCACAACTGTCTGTAACTCAGGTCCAGGGTATCTGACACCCTCTTCTGGACCCTTTGGGCCCTGCATGCATGTGGTGACCATACATACACGCTAGCAAAAACACCCGTGCACAGAAGGATAAATAAATGAACCTTTTATTAAAGTTAAAAATGTTACTGTTTTGCATCACTAAGATTTTCTGAGTCTCTTCTTAGATCGTAACATCTGCTGCAAAATGAAAACACCAAGAGACCGAAGAGAGATTTGACAGCCACTTAAGAGCATTTCTACCAGTGGAGAGTAGAAATGGCTCAGTAGGCAAAGTACCCATGCTAGCATTAGGAGTTGAGCCCAGATCTCTAGCAGCCAAATAAAAACCTGTAGTAGCAGTGTGCATGTCTAATGTTAGGGCAGAGGAGACAGACAAGGGGCTCTCTGGATCTCGCTGCACAGCCAGTCTGCCGAACTGGTGAGAGGCAGGTTTCCGAGAGGCTCCACCTCAAACCACACAATAAAGAAACGATTGAGAAAGACACCCAACATTGACATCTGGCCTCCATGCGCGCTTAGACACACATGCAGGTGTACACTCATCTGAGCGCATACATGCATGTGCACTCACGCAAAAAAAATATTTCTACAAATGCATTAACATTAGTGTAAATGATACCTTTGTCCAAGAGTAGGAACTCATTGTGGTAAGCCAATCTTGGGACTCTATTATCACTTACAGATGTAAACACCAAGGTGGGGGGTAGAGTTCTGCCGTATGCATGCTAAGCACAAAACTTAAGAGCATAAGGAGAACTTATTTAAGTGATTCCAACTGTGGCACTTCCATGGCTGATAATACAGCAAACGTTGTAAAGCTTTTGTTTTGCTCACATGAGTGGAAATCTGTTCGCTAGCCTCTCAAAAGAAAGAAGAAAAACATAATAAATTGTATTTGCTAACTAATATCTCTGGCCAGTGTTGGTATACCCTCTTGAGGAGTGTCAGATGTGGGGGAGCTGTTCTTGAAGATTTATTTATTTACTTTAGCAGATCCTGAGAGCCTCAATGTCCTAACATAGTTTGGAGAAGAAGTGGTTGTTTTATTTGTGCTGCATTTAATTTGCGTCTTACGTGTGTGGCATCTGCTCTGGTGGGAAGAACCAGGAATGACAAATGGACAGGTAAACTGTAACCCTGAACATCAGACATCCAAGGCTGCCACTGAGGACAGTGTCTGTAGTTCTAAGCTCAGTTCAGGGGCACCTCTCTGCCCAATGTAACACAACGGCATGGCTATGTAACACAAATAATAAAAACCCAAAGATTGATATTGGGGTTCAGAGAAGCAAAGCAGCCAGCCACTAGCTGTTACCTCTACCTCAGGCTGAAAGGTCTCTCCTGTCCTCGCCGTGGCTGGAGAATAAATCTCCTTTTTTTTTAACCTCACAAAACATGAGAGTAAAGACATGAGTAATCCCAAGTGCTGAGATCACCTTTGTATGAACTGCTTCTCTTTAGGACTTCACCAATTTCATGCAGGTCAGGGTGGCCTTGAACTCACAAAGATGCATCTGCCTGTCTCTTGAGTCCTGGGACTAAAGGTGTGTGCCACCATTGCTTGGCTCTATGGCTAGCTAATATGGCTGCTGGGATTAAAGGTGTGTATCACCACTGCCTGGCTCTATGGCTTGTGGCTAGCTTTGCTTTCTGTACCCTCAGGCAAGCTTTAATAAATCACAGATAATATATCACCACATGGCTATTTCTCTGATACTTGATGAGAAAATAGTTAGTAATCACTTATCTCTCTAGCAATGAAAATTATAGCATCCTTCTCTTCAATTGTTGCTGTCCTTTTTTTAGGTTTCTTTTTTTGACTTTGCCTCAGGCTTTAAGAAGTTTCTCTCTTCTCTGCCTAGAACTATTTACCCATTAGGGGTGTTTGGGGCAGGATGGCATTGGTCCACAGATAACATAGTCACAGTTAGGGGAATACATTCCAAAGTGAATCAGTATAGTTCATAACAATATATTGTACTCTTTAAAAATATAAAGAAAATGATATCTTACCTCAAAATTGGTGACTTCATCGGGTGATGTATTGTAAGCCGTCATTGTGGGGTTCAGTTGGATCCAGGCGACTTGCTTGGTTCGTGCCTGAGAGTGGGAGTGTGGATTGAGAAACAGTAGGTAAAGATGCTAAGGAAAAGACAGAGATACAGACAGAGTCAGGAGGGCCATCCAGTGATCATGAGCTGAATGACCCAAGTTCATTCTTCAACGTTCTTAAATACCCCAAGCCAAAAAGGGGAACATGGCAAAGACTCCTTTATCATGATACAAGCAAGAAGCAGACCTTCTTACTTGATTATCCAAACATTTGGTAACCACACCTTAGACTAAAAAATCTCTCATTATCTGGCCTTGAGGGTTAAGAGTAACCACACCTCAGACCAAGTCTCTTGTTATTCAGGTAAGGCATTCACAACCAAGACCAAACATCCTACAGTAGCCACGCCTTAGACCTTTAGGCCCTATGGGCTTTAATTTTGGAAGAGTAAGGATAGTTTTCAACTCTCCAACCTTAAGCCAAGGTGAAGCAGAGCCATCTCTCTGTGCCCTGACAGTGATGTATCTGTCAATTAGCCAAATACAAATGTAACATGATGTGCATTTGCTTCAAAGGTCATGTTGGACATAGTTTACAGCGACGTCATGTGTCCATTAAAACACACACACACACACACACACACACACACACACACACACACATGATGAACTCTGAATGGCTGGAGGGTGGCTCAGTGGGTAGGTACCAGCAACATAAACATGAAGATGTGAGTTTGGATCCCAGCTCCCATGTAAAAGTCAAGTGTGGGTGCACCACAGCGACTCCAGAACTGGGGGGTGTGGAGCAGAAGCAGGCGGCTCCCCATCCCGCCAGGCCCTGCATTATAAGTCAAGCGCAAAGGCTGCTCTTACATTTCTCACGGGATGAGAATTTCTAGGGAGGATCCTCATGGGCTGTGGGGAAGGCAAGACTCCCCCACAGGAGAAGCCAGAGGGGAGAGCTATTCCTGAAGACTTCTCAGGGAGTAGAGCGCATGCATGCAGCGTGCTGGGCTGGGAGAGGAGGAACACAGACCCTTCCTGTCCTAGATCTGCTGTGTGAGAGCTACACACTTCTCCTTCCCACCTCAGCCTCCCCCTCCTCCCCACACAAGTATTGTTTCCCTTCTGTTCCTCTCTGACTGGTGAACCCCCAACCCATGTGCTTGAAGAATTTTTCAGCCCTGATTTGAAACATCCTCTGAGATGAGCTAATTGTACTATCCATAGTGATGCCAGTTCCTAGAAGGTTGGGATAAAGGACGAGGACTCTGGTTACACTGAGCTCATGAGCTGAACCCTACGCCGCCCCCCCCCCCACCTTAGATTGTGTGTCTTGGTGTAAGAAGCACCAGGGCATGTGGGCCAATACAGGGGGCTGATTTCTAACCCGATACAGACCCCAGCAGCTAGCCCCTCAGTTCTGTGCTATCACAGCAGTAAAATAGTCCAGGGTTGGCACCATCGTCCCGTAAGCACACCCTGAACTTCATGATGTATATGCTAAGATAGGAGAGGAAACATGTGTGGATGACACATACAACAGTGTCCAATACCACACTTGGGTACCCTGAGGTCTTATTTTAAAACCATCTCACCTGGTCCCGCAGACTCTTAGTACCAAATAAAAACACAGAGACTTACATTAATTATAAACTGTATGGCCAAAGGCTCAGGCTTCTAACTGGCTAAATTATAAACCCATTTCTAGCAGTATAACTATCTCCATGTAGTCTTGGCTTATCAGAGAATGCCCAGGCGTCCCATCTTCCCTGTATCTACATGGAGTCTCTCCGGTGGCTCATTCTCTGTCTATCTCTTCCTAGCCTTCCCCTAGTCTGGTAGCCTCACCTATATTTCCTGCCTGGCTAATGGCCAATCAGCATTTATTCATCAACCAATAAGAGAAGCATATGTTTGTAGCATACAGAAGGTCACACCCTATCACATCTCTCCGAGGGCTGGAAAGATTGCTCAGTGCTTAAGGAGCACTTACTGCTATGCCATGGGACGCAGAGTCTGCTTCCAGCAGCTGTGTGCTGACTCGTGCCCACTTGTAACTCCGGTTGCAGGGGACCAATGTCCTTGTCTGCCCTACACAGGCTCAACGTGTGCACAGTGAACAGACCTGCATGCAGGCAAGCACTCACACACACATAAATAAATAACTCCTTTGACAGCCATTTGATATTGCCTCTTGCTTTTCAGAACTTCAGAAACGCTTCGTCATTGTGCCACGCAAGAGGAAAAGATGAAGACGGTGAGAACAGAAAGCCAGAGGACGGTATGACGGGGGAGGGAGGGGAAAGAAGGGAGAAACAGGAAGTGGGGAGAATGGAAAGAAAGGAAGAGGAGGAGGGAGAGGAGGAGGGGCAGAAATGAAATGAAATACAGATTTATTCCCCTGGATATGACCTCGTCCCTAAATGCTCACAGAATGTGAAGTGCTGGGGTTTCTAGGCTCTGCAGGAATATTTGGGGTGTGCCCTGCTCAGGGTATTTCTCTTGTAGTTGATTGCACATCTCCAATGCAATGTCTGCAGCATCCACTGACTGCAGCATAATCAAGAGACAAGTGTGTTGGTTGATGCAGTCTGTCTTGACAGCGACAAGGGACATGTGGCAGAGCGGCTCTCCTGGGCTGTGCCAAACCCGACAGCTGCTTTTGTCAGTTGTAGGACAGTTTCCTGTGACCTGGAGAAGATTTCTGGTTGTGTTTCAAAGACTTGTGCTGGTGGTGACTGCTCCTACCTTCTTACTAGCAGAGGTAACGAGACTCTAGTCATACTTGAGGGGCTCAACTTTCGGCCAAGTGGATAACACGAAATATCGATTACTTGGTTGATGAGCCAATATCAAGCTGATGTGATTAATTTTTGCTCAAAGGTCCAATGATGAGAAAAAAATGAGAAGAATGAATCAAAGAACCAGGGACCATTTGTTCTCAGTGTTCTAAGCTGACTTCTGCCTCAAAGAAGGTAACAACAGTGCCTAGACCAGACTTCATTTTATCAACTCTCCGTAGAGTCATTTTTAATCAAATTTTACTTCAGAGAATATAAGAAATGAAATAAAGGGTAAATATTTGAAGAAAAAAAAAGCTTAGGCATTCCAATGTCTGAGGGTAGGCAATTAGTGAGGATATTGGCTATTGCATCATACTTATGATGGCCTGTTACTTATTAGCAACAAAAATAACAAGCTTTTCTCCACATGTACTTACCGTTTTCCATCTTAAATATCTTGCTAATTGCAGGTGTGGCCAGATTTGGGTCATTTCTTCAACCTACTCAAACTTTTTTTTGTATTAATACACATGGTGCTAAGCCACCTTCCCTTGCTCTTTGAAGTTTTTCCTGATGTCTTTCTTCTTTCAACCCAAAGTAAATCATTTTGCATTTTACATAAACCAGTGCAATCAAGTGTCTCATTTCAGAAATTAGGCAAAATTAAAATTAGTAAATAAATCTGTAAGGTGGATATGAGATTATAAATATCCTTGAGGTCTCAGAACTCAAATAATTGAACGACAAAAGACATGATCAGAAGATGTTCCCGGTGGTGTAGCACTGTTCCGTAGCAGCCTGGCACTTTCTGATGGTCTTTGAAGCCCGGTCCACAAGAAGGAATATATTTTATGTATGCTCCTGTAAACCTGTTTAAAAATTCATGGGTAGAGAGGTCATGGGCCCCAGGACAGCTCCTGCTGTTACTTTGCTGGAGGGTCATATTGTCACAGGACCTTCTAAACCACCTGTTAATCCCCGAAGCCCTGAATTGCTCTCAGCCATGCTCAGAGAAGTTCTTATTTGCTGTAGGCAGCAGTCAACACAGAGATGCACAGCTAGCCAGAGTACTGAGAACAAGTGACTGTGAGTGTCCAGCCCTATGGGGGACTCCTCTGCCAAGGCTCAGGGGACTCCAGATAAGTTGGGGTGGAATGCAGAGCGAGGGGATGAGAGGTCCTGTTGAATGCTGTCTCCTGCACATGGTGTGGCCGCGGAACTTATGAACTCACATCGGCCGGCCGTGGTTACACAAGACCTATACAAGGTGGAGCCAGCTCAGATTCTTGCAGAGCGGGGATAGACTCTCCAAGTCTTACACTTCACCATGCAAACACTAGCAGTCGGTAATCGTGGCTTTTGGGCTTGTGGCTATTGGCAGGTTATGCAAGCTGCAGTGGGCTGACCCACACACATGCAGAGAATGCTAATTGCATGCTGTGAGCTATTAACAACAACAACAAAGAGGAAGAGGTCATGAAATTGGAAGGGGACGATGTGAGGGGGATGTGTTGGGGGGTTGTGGAGGGATGTGGGGAATGTGGGGGAGATGTGTGGAAAATGCGGGGGGTATGATATAGGAATGTTGAAGCATATGTAGGGGTGTTTGGGGGGATATTGGGGAGAACTAGAGGGGAAATGAGGATGGCCATAATCATATTTCATCGTGTACATGTATGAATTGTCAGAGAGTAACTATTTTGATGGGAAAATAAAGATTAATAAGTAGATGGCAAACTTAGCCAAGAAACTGAAATGAATTATTGCCAAAGGGAACATGGGGGATACTAAGGGAGGAAGAGGGGTAATTCTGCTCCAGTAAGTTGAAAGAAATGTTCGTCCTCATGCCTGTAGTTCTTGGCCTTCACGGAGGACCATCTGAACCTGCTAGCAGCATCCTCGACAGACTCATCCAGTGTTCTGCCTCCTCCCGCAGACATCCTGACGGAGGAGGAGGAGGAGAGGCCACCAAAAAGAATGTTTCTTAGCTGCATACTCCACTTTTTTGTCTGCTTAGCCTATGCATAACCAAAGCTATCTATTGTATGTACACTTTGTGGCCTGTGTATTTATAAATAATTTCTAGATCTAAAACTTCAGCAACCTCTAAGTTTTAAGCCTGCAAGGTCACTAGCCTGCAAGTAGACTCTTGGTGTCATTAAATTGTGTTAGGGATATTAATGCCCCACAGGGTCCACTCTCTAACCCCCAAACCAGTGATGCTACCACGCAAGGCTAAAGAGACACAATTAGGCTTTTCATCCTAGATGTCGGCGGACCTCGGAGGACACAGGGAGGCTGTGTAGGAGATTTGATGGTGGGAGCCGGTTGGTGAGCGTGGACCTGCCGTGTGCTGAGAGGACGGGGTAAGAGTCTACAGACCGGAGCAAAGCAAGGAAAGCAGAGCCTGCAGAAGGAACAGGGCCCATCCCACGCTTCGTCTCAGCCCAGCAAGACTTCTGACCTGTGCGACTGCGAGATAACAAATGTGTTGTTTTAAACCGGAAAAGTCCGAGGCTGTTTGTTTTAATGGGAACGAGAAACCAGCACAACATTCCTTGAGAATCTGAGGTCATCTCAGCATTGTGCTGAGGCTTCCAAATTTTCCCCCGCCCCTTTCCCTTCTGCCCACGGACTTCAGGTTGTGGCGCGGTGCTGGTCGGCACAGGTACTGCTTTCCTGCTAAGGACCATCCAGGCCTGGGGGTCAGTGGCACTTGTGGACAACCTTGACAAGTGCCACCTGCTGCTTGCCCCAATAGGACCTCATCTTCCATGATTTATTTCTTCAGCTGGATAGTTCTGACCTCCCACAGGCTGGCAGGGTGTGCGTCTACAGGGCCCCTGTGTTGTCTACGATGGGCAGGAGTGATGGACTAGACCATCTACATGCAGCATGCTCATTCACTAACTGAGTGCCTATGGGATGGTGGAAGTGAGTCTAATGAGACCAAGACGCAAAATATTTGACTCAATGTCATTGTAATTAATTGAAGTGGATTCATTAATTTTGTTAAATTTTTATTTTATGCTTATGGATGCTTTGCCTGTGTGTATGTCTCTATACCGTATGCATGCAGTGCCTGATGAAGCCAGAAGAGGGCATCAGATCCCTGAGACTAGAGTTACAGAAGGTTGTGAGCCACTGTGTGGGTGCTGGGAACTGAACCCTGGTCATGGGCAAGAGCAGCCAGTACTATTAACCTCTGAGATGTCTCTCCAGGACCTATAGGCAATTTCAAATACCCCATTTGTGTTTAATAGTTACCACATTGAATAGCAAAACTAAGTTTTTACTGAAGTGTGTTGATAATGACCAACTGAAATAGCTACCAGATGTCTATTTCCTTAACGTCAAGTCAGCCGATTTACTTTAAATATTACATTGGATATGAGGCTGTCACCTACAATTTTAAACTCTAAAGAGCTGCATCCACAATAGACAGGAGAGAACAGCCAGCCCTTAGCTACAAGGTCCCTGAGCACAGAACCTTTCCCTTAGGAACTCATGAAAGCAAGTGCCCTCCACTAAAGGTGTAGCCTGCTGTGCCTCTGGGGTATGACTAAGCCACACTTGTTAGGTCTGAAGATATGTCCTTTGTATGGTCATTTCCAGCACCCCATATCCTCTGCTCTAGAATGTAGAGAATGACTGGGCATTGCTCATGGCTGTATCCCCATGCTGTTTTCTGTGGTCAGTCTCCCATGACCTTCTGGGGCATAATTTAAAAAAGAGTAAGTGGAAAGTCACTGGTTGCATTAACTAAGTGAGATGTAGTGGCTTTGCTAGGGGAACACAGCATTAAGTAAGATACAGTAGCAGTTTTCTACAAAACACAGCCTTAAGTGAAATAACAGTAACAGTTTTCTAGGGGAACACAACATTAAGTGAGATACAGTAGGAGTTTGCTAGGGAAACACAGCTTTAAGTGAGGTAACAGTAACAGTTTTCTAGGGGAACACAGCATTAACCAAGTGAGATACAATAGCAGCTTTGCTAGGGGAACACAGCCTGAGCCCAGACTAGACAGCCAGGTGAGCTGAGTGACAGCAGTGCAAGCTGACATGGTCCCCATGACAGTACCCAGATGGCTTATGGAAGACTGCTGCTCCCTCCCTCTCCTGCCCACCTGGCTTCAGGATTTAAATCAAAGCCACGTAGGGAAAGTGGCATCACAATGTTAAGTTTACAGGGTTCACATCTGACACTTCTCTCATAAACAGCTACAGAGACCATTTGTAAATGCATTATATGGCATTAAGAGGTTGTGTTGCTGGTCCTTCCAGGAGTCAGGTCAGATGACGAAGATGGCCTAAGATTCCAGAGAGCTGTGGGCTCCTTTGCTCATGAAATAAGTGAATAACTTTAAAATGCAAGTGAATTTAGTAGTAACAGATCTATAAGATGCCAAACTCATCCAGGTTCCTGAACACTTCTGATTGTCAGGTGAAATACGTATTTAAGCTCCTGCTTTCCTGCCTCAGAGGCGCTTCTCGGAGGGTTCAGAATGATGTGTCTTTTTGCTCATTAGTCAATCGTTTGCCTGACAGAAATTGAGGGCCTCAGGATAGTCATAACATGGCTGTAACGCTGTTTGAGAGTGAATTAAGTCATTTTACCCTCAAGGGCAGAAAAATAGCCTCTTACTATTCTGCTTCAGGCATCACCTTTCCCTGAACACAGTCTGCCTCCCATCAGGGTCCCAGGCTGGAGTGGCAGATGTAGCCCCAAAGCATTTGGTGTAACTCTGATGGAGGCCCTCTGCCGAGATTTCAGAAATAGTGGCTTCAATTACGACTTCTAATTCAAAGCCCTATAAAGAGGCTGTATTTGGACCGGAAGGAGAGGCATTCCTCAAGTGAGTAATAAAATAAACTCTTAATGGTTTGCATTTCCTGTGTCATTATTTACTTTATCAAACTTGAAACCGGTACCAAGTAGAGCTTTATGCCTCCCCCATGCCAACCAAGACTCAGAACTGCTCAGTGCTTAAAGAAAGAGGAAATGGGCCTAGACGAGGGATCAGAAGGTCCTGAATCTGAACGGCCACAGATAAGCGAGCCTGGTGGAGTCTGGAGGGAGCTGCTCATGGAAAACTCGTTCTAGTTGGCGACGGCAAAATGCATGCTGTTATGTTTCCAAGAGGCATGCAAAGGCGACCCTGCCCAGCCTTCCTACGTTTCAGGACACATGGTTGTAAGATCTTAAATACATTAGGGAATGGGGGTGGGGGTGGGGTCTAGCAGGGAAAGCAGAGAAGCCTAATTGAGAAAGAGACTGTAAGTCTGTTGCCTGGCAAGAGGAAAACATTTTTAGACGTTCATGTTTTCTAAAATATGATTTCTTGTTCAAATTATGCTCCCGCTTTTTAAGAGAAGCCAGGAAAATGAAGTTATTGGTACATTCAAATTTTCCTCTCTGCTGTCACTTCAATTAAATTATTGCTTAGACATCTGTAATGGAAAAAACAGGGCTTAGAGCACAGTTTCCAGCTGGGATCCTTCTAAATCTGTCCCTGGGTGGATGATGAACTTGGACAAATGCTTCTGGTCCTCAGAGAGACGTGTTTATTCACATGGAAAAAAAAGGAGGGCTATTAAATCCTACACAACAGTATTGATGAGAAGATAAAACTAAATAATGAACGTGACATCAGCTCAATGTGCAGCATGTCGGCCAAATCTGTTTTCATTTCTATGCTTATTGAACTGACAGTAAGACAATCTTGTTTAACCCCAAGATTTTGACTTGTGCTGTTTTATTTACCCTGGAATCCAGGACTTCACAGTTTACAAAGTGTTGCCTATCTGAGGAGCAAAGAAATGTTACATAGTGTCAAAGTGGAATGTTTTCCTCAGTTAGTGGCTTGTCTTTCCTGGGGACAAAAGGCACCATAAGACACAGGAGAAGCCGGGTGTTGGTGGTGCACGCCTTTAATCCCAGCACTTGGGAGGCAGAGGCAGGCAGATCTCTGTGAGTTCCAGGCCAGCCTGGTCTACAAAGGGAGTTCTAGGACAGCCTCCAAAACAATATAGAGAAACCCTGTCTCGAAAAACAAACAAACAAACAAACAAACAAAAAAGACGCAGGAGATAGTCATGCAAGTTCTGGTCAGCAGGACTTTGAAATTCTCCTAAAGACCAGGGGATAGTGAAATGCTCCCCAAGTCTTCCCCAGATGAAGAACTCATCCGAATCCATGTGGGACTGAAAGCAGCTTAGCTCCTTCACTTGAGCAGGATGTTAGAAGAGAGACTCTTTGGGTTTGCCTGGTGGTGTGGGATGTATGGGCAGGTGTGTTTCTTATCTGTCCTCTGGACTCTCAAACTTGACATCAGTGGCTCCAAGGAACCGCCCAACACAGACCCAGTTGCTCAGAAGCAGCCAAAAATAAATAAATAAAAATATTTTTAAATATATATTTTTGAAAGCTTTTCCAAGTGTCATTTACAGGCACATGATCATTGAGACATTTCCCTTTTCTGACACCTCATTCTGCAATTTTCCAGAATTCCAGAGTTGAGAAGTTTTCAGTGTACACAGCAACCGACGATCAACTTAGACGGTCTGGTCTGATGGAGGTCGGCAGGGAGTGCCTTCTAAGAACCTTATGCCTGCCCTTTGGCTTTGAGGCCCTCGCATGAATGTCTCCGTTCTGTTTTGTGGGGCAAAAGACCTTCTTAACTGAAGGGAACAAAAACTGCCGTGCATGCATCCCTTCTGGTTATAAAACCGGATTTTTCTCAGCCAGAGCTCTGCTAGGCTGGGATCTATGGCTCACCCTCCAGTAACAGCACTTCCCAGGGAAGTGGGCATGCCTGCCGGTCACACATTCAACATGCCATGCTTGGGCATTCCACTATCTGTACGGCCGCCATCCCCAGGTAGGGGGTACTGTCTCGATCCTGAGACATGTCGTTCTCAGGGTGGGAAGAGGGGTGTGCTTTCAGGGTAACATCTTGTGTTGTTTGTAGTTACCTTTTTTTCCCCCTTGAGGGTAAAAAAAAAATCTCAGTTTCATTAGGAGAAGAAAAATGTCCAGTCTGTTCCTGTTGCTTAATAACACAGTCCATCCACTGTGGGGATCCTGTCAACCAGTTCCCCAGAGTTACCGTAAAATCTGCTGTCTCCGTTTCGGTGCATTACCGGCTCCGCCTTCAAGGCAACCTGCATGGACTGGGGTTCACATCTCACCCATCTCCTTAACTGAGATTCCACTGAACCCACGGATGTCTGAACTCTCTGTTCCTCAGCTATGAGCTGCCTCTCCATTGTAGCGCTTCCTGGGGTGGGTACCGCCTGCTGGTCACGGCTGTGAGGCCGGCACGGACTTTCGGCTGCATCATTTGCTTTAGCTCGAGGTTGCCTCAGTCTGGGTGTGTGTGTGTGTGTGTGTGTGAGCTATAAATTAGCACCCGACACAGCTATATCCCTGTCTGCCTCCCCAGCCAAGACCCATACTGCTGTCGCCTGAGTCTTCTGCCTCAGGGCCACTGTTGGTTGAGTTTCGTTCTACCTTAGAGGGAAAATGTGGCCTGACTAAGACTTACCCCGTGGGCTGGGACTAAAGGGGATCTGGTGGCAAAGGTTGAGTGTGTGCCATCTGTTCAGGAGATGACCCACCCCCGCCCCCAGGAAGTACACAGAGGGAAGAGTGGCTAACACAGCATGCGTTAGCAACCCGGTGACTGCTGTTGGCAACCATGGCATGCCACGGACCTGCTGCGTGATGGACAAGGGAGCAAGGGCACTTAAACCCCAGACTCTGCAAGCCTTACTGCCCGAGTTTTATCCTGGAACCCACTTAAAGGTGGAGGGAGAGAAGTGACTCTGCAAAATTGTCCTCTGAACTCCGCACGTGCATCATGACGCACATGCCCCCACACACCCATCCCCCATACACACGCACTCACGGTAAAATAATAATGATTTGATTCAGCTACCTATTAGTCTAGTAGCCCGCGATGAGATGGTACTTATTAAGATACGTCCCCTTTGTGAGTGTGGAAGGGAAGCCCACGGTTTGCTTACAATATCACCAGCCCTGAAAGCCAGGTGGGTCCAGCCAAATATGGGTGTGACTGTAGTGAGTTAAATGTATACATTGTGTGGAGTTTATATTCGATCCTGACAAATGAATAGAAAGACTTGGCATGCCGATTGCTTCACAGAGTGAGAGGTTTATACTTAATGATTCTGTGTCATTGCAGAGCAAAAGCAGGGAAAGGACATCACACTCTTACCACACAGCAAAGTCCAAGTTGGCCTGTGACAAATCAGGTTCAGTCTGTGGATGTGTGTGTGCGTGGCTCTGCATGGTTTTCACCCACGGAGAGTTTTGGGCCTGCTTTGTTTCAGTTGGCATCCTTAAGACCCACAGACAGAATAGATCAAAATATGCATGTCTGGGTTCTCTTGGGTTATCAAAATGTCCGTCAGACCTGACCATGCTGTTCTCATTTTTAAAAAAAGATTTACTTTATTCTTTTAAGTGTGGGGGGCATGAAAGTGCACATATAAGTACAAATGTCTGAAGGTCTAGTTTCCCTAAAACTAAAGCCCAAGTTAAGAAAACACCTTCCCGGTCTCTGTTTTTCTTCTCCTTGTAAACTTGTACAGGTGCCGTGTCTCCGCTCGCGAGCTCAGGTCACTCTGTACACAGGTTACAGCAAAGCTTTGTACCCCAGTACACGGGAGGAATCAGAACAGGATACTAGTGTGGTGAGGCAACATGGAGACTCCAGAGACAGGTCTCCAGGTACCTGGAAGGGACTCATGTAGTCATTTGAAAGGATTGGAGTCATGTGGTATTTTGGATACACAATACGGACAATAGACAGGAAAAAAATAACAAACCGATAAGTAAAGGAGACCCGAACCTACCGTGTGGAACTTATAGTCTATAGGGGAAGGTGGACAAATCCCGCAGCTCTGGTTGTTGGTCAAGGGGAGAGGAGCACGCTGTTTTGCAAATGTGTGATCTGTCCTTATCTTGCAGACTCTCCCCTAGAGAGTGAAGTCTGGATGGTGGCTAAGTGCACCAGGCAAAGAGCAATGCGGGTAATGTTTTGGCATCTGCTGGCACGGGGCTCACGGCGACGTTAAAAAGATCCAAAATGAGCCCCCAAAGAGGAGCCTGTGGTGAGACAGGAGGACAGAAGGGATAGGGGAACCCAACTGAAAACTCAGTCACAACTTCAGTTTGTATCACAGGAGGGAAGCTGAGATGGGACAGATGCTGCTTGGAGCAAATGATGTCCAAGTGTCTCCCAAAGGAGATGAAGGAGCCAACCCACAGATTCTAAGTGTTCCAAAAGCCACAGAACCATAAGTAGATCAACAAACGCCAATATAGCTATACAGTCTGGTTCTCTTAAGCAGCAGAAACAGACATCCTACCTGGGGGTATCACCCAGAGGGTAGGGGGGCTTGGTGTGAGCAGGACCGTGGACTCCTCCCCCCGCCCAGCAACAGTAACAACACGGCGGAGCATTTGCTACCTCGTGGCACGAAGGCTGTACAGACGAGCTCAGAAGCAGGGTGTTAGCCGAAGGCAGCCAGTCACACAGAGGTGTGTTGTGTGCGATGCCAGCTGTATGACACTCTGAAAAAGACAACCCCAGAGGGAGACAGGTTAAACCAGTGGTTACCCAGGCGCCGGTGATAGGAACCGGACCTGAAAATGATGTGAAGGAAATTCCTCGAGTCTGGAACTCCCAGATGTCAGTGCGACAATAAAAGTCACACCGCCCAACAATATCATAAAAAAATACTTATAATCTCATTATCAGGAAGTAGTCACTGGTACTGGAAATATGATTCAGCAGCTAAGGGTACTGGTTGCTCCTCCAGAGGACCCTGGTTCTGTTCCCAGCACCAATATAGTGACTTTTACAGCATCTGTAACTCCAGTTCCAGGGGACCTGGTGCCCTCTTCCTACCTCCTTAGGCACTGCATAAATGTGGTGTATGGACACACAGACAGACACACAAACAGACAGAATAGCATACATAAAAATAAAATATCGCTGGTGTCTGTCTGCTTTAAATTTTGTCATTTGTGTGTGTCTTTGACTGCTGTGTTTTCTGGGATAAGAATGTAATTATTATAATTAGAGAAAAGATCTTCCAAATTTGGGTAGCAGGCCATATGGTAAATCTGTGTGCAGACCGGATTGGCCTGGATGCTGTGGCTTCTCTGCCCCTCTGAACAGCGCAACTGGAGAAGAAATGCCCAACCCCTCTGCTTGGCCAGACAGGATGAAGACCCTGGATCAGAAAAAAAAACAATGATGACCTTCCCATGACTTCACGGAAAGGTGACCTCTCCTGACCACACCGCCTGATGCTTTATGGACACCCGTGAATGGATGACGCCCACGAATGGACGACACTCTCGAATGGACACCTGCAAATGGCGTCCCACGCCCAGTCTCACCTGTTAGTCAGCAGAAGGAAAAGAAACCAAGAACTAAAGCCACTGATTAGCCAGGAATAGGTCAAAACCCCCAGCTCCACCTCTGCCACATGGAGCTGGAAGAAGCCTGTGAAACACCGTCCCCCCTCCCCCACTCTCCTCCATTGTATGGTGACTCCTCAATTACACAAGAAGCAAGGCATTTCGCGGCCCTCTGAGTCTCAGCACGTTTGTCCTCCGGGCATCTTTGAGCGCACGCTTCCGGGACGCTCCATCCGTCCAAACTGACTCCAGGGCTGACTTGGGGGCTTTTGTCTCCCCAATCCCTTGCTGGCCTTGTTTTAGCTGCTGTACCTGTACCATTCCTGCACAGAAAACCCAGTTTCACTGTGAGGGTTCCAAACCCCTTCTCCTCCCTCTCCGTCTCTTTCCTCCTCTCCCTTTTCATCCGGAAATAGTTCCGTATCAGAGTTGTCACCCTGCCAAGGGCTCGTTTGCTTTTCCCCCTTTAATCGTTATCCCAGGCTCATCCAAGTGGATCTCACAAAATTATTTTGAGTGCTGTGTGTGTGAAGTCTACCTTGGAAAGTGCGTTTTAGTTTGTGCCCTTTTTTCACCAACATCTGATGGCTCACATCTATATGGTCCTAACATCCAGGCATGTCTAGGACAATTGCCACCAAACAGAACTGTCAGGCTCCATGACAACCAAACTACATGGGGCCTGGACCTTAGTAGGGCTGGGCTGTGGAGAGCTGCGCCACACCACGCCTCAAAGATGGCGCAGGCTTCCGCATTCCACCATCCCGACGGTGAGTGCGCTCGGTAATAAACAACTCCTTATTTGGCCTGCTCCCATCCCGCCGGGGTCACGCCATCATCATCAGATTGCTTATGCATTCTGGTGAGCCTATGGCTTGCACACACGTGGCTGCTCAGGGTTGGCTGGCCTTGGCTATTTAGGGAGCAGGAGGGGTTTTTCCCGTGGCTGCCTCCACGCTGTCTCAAGGTTCCTGAATAAACCGCTGAAGAGAAGGATTCCTGAGTCGCGTCTTCCTTGCTGGTCGAGGTAGTCGTGACAGTTGGTGGCCCGTATGGGGAACGCTCGTACGAAGAAAGGAATTCAGAACTCACAGCGGTCAGGGGGTGCACCGGTAAGTCCCCAGGTAAGGCGGGGATCCGCGAAAAGAGCGGGGTTATTGTTCTCACCCGTAGAGAAGGGGAGAACGGTCAGTAGAGCCGCGTCAAAGCGGACGGGAAAGCAAAGCAGCAGAGCCGCATCAAAGCGGACGGGACAAAAGGGAAAGTAGTAGAGCCCCGTCAAAGCGGACGGAGTAAAAGTGAAACAGAGGGTATTATTTTTCTTGGCCCTTTGGGTGGTATTCAATTTTACTTTTGGGTTTTCTTTTCACTGTTTGTTGCAAGGATTGTACTAGGGCAGGTCAGTCAGGGAATCAACCTTGCTAAAAACATGGGTAATTCAACATCCCACCCAATTTTTTTGGCGCTCAATGAGTTGCTGCATTCAAAAAACCTTGAACTTAAGAAAAGTACTTTGGAAAGATTCCTGACGGAGTGTGACACTGTGGCACCCTGGTTTGCCGTATCTGGCAGCTTGACACTCTTGTCATGGAAGAAATTAGGCAAAGATTTAGATGCTGCTGCGGAGCACGGTGTCCTTGCTCCCGGGGTTCGGCCTGTTTGGACGTTAGTTCGCGGGTGTCTTACTGATCAAAAATGCATTAAAGCTATAAGGAACGGTCAGGCGGCCCTAGAACTTTTACAGGAGGAGAGGTCAGAGTCGGCTGCCTCAGTTGAGGCCGCCTCTCCCATAGGTCATACCCTGGATCTAAAAATAAAACCAAAACAGAAGAAAGAAGGGAATAGATTATACCCTGGCCTGTCAGACTTGGAGGATATTAATAGTTCTGCCGCCCCTACCTCCACCGAAGAGTCTGAGTCGGAAGAGGAGCGGGAGGCCCCCCATAAAGCACCTTTACAGTCCGCCCGAAGATTGCTTGCTAAATTACAGCTAGGAAGAAAGAAAGTTAGCCGACTTTACCCAAGGACTGACATAGTCCCTTCAGCTCCCCCTCCCTATCTGGAGGCTGCAGCTAATTCAGGAGGAGCTTGCTTCAACTCAGAAGTTTGGAGACAGGTCAGAACAGAGATGCCTCTGGCCTATCCGATCTTCCAGGACCCACAAGGGAACAGGTTTCATGAAATGCTGGATTTTAAAATCGTAAAATCCTTGGCCGAGTCAGTTAGAACCTACGGGGTCACAGCATCCTTTACAGTTGCTCAGTTAGAGACCCTACATAGATTTGCCATGACACCGGCTGATTGGCGGAATCTTGCAAAGGCATGCTTGTCACCCGGTCAATATCTAGATTGGAAGGCCTATCTCAATGAATTTGCAATTACTCAGAGTGCGGCTAATGCCGCGGCCGGAGGGCCCCAGGCTGTTTGGGATGCGGAAATGCTCCTAGGCATGGGTCAATAAGCCACTCAACAAAATGCTTATCCACCATTGGTGTATGACCAGATCAATCAGATCGCCATTAGGGCATGGAAGGCTCTCCCCAATAAAGGGGAAACAACTGGCAATTTGACAAAAATCTTACAAGGGCCTTCTGAACCTTTTTCTGACTTTGTGGCCAGGTTGGTGGAGGCCGCAGAAAAAATCTTCGGCGATACTGATACTGCCATGCCGCTAATAAAGCAACTTGTGTTTGAGCAATGTACCAAAGAATGCAGGGTGGCTATCACTCCACTTAGGCATAGGAGACTTGAGGAATGGATGAGGGCCTGCAGGGAAATAGGCGGCCCCCTGACTAATGAGGGGCTTGCGGCCGCCGCCATCAAATTAAGCAGGGGAGGCGGCCACCCCGGAACTTGCTTCCATTGTGGTAAAGCGGGGCATATGAAGCGTAATTGCCCACAGAGAGACCAGCCAAGGAATAAGGATGCTTTAAACTTTAAAGGTGCTCAACACACCATGCCAGGATTATGCCCAAAATGTAAAAAAGGGAGGCACTGGGCGAATGAGTGCAGGTCTGTTAGGGACATTAACGGTCATGTCATCCCATATATGTCAATGCCAAAAAACGGGAGACCGGGCCCCAAGCCTCAGGGCCCACAAATATATGGGGCCATGGAGAACTCAACAACAGAAAATCCCAATCTGAGGGAGACGAGCCTAGAACAGTGGCCGACCTTCCGGCACCCCAAAAACCTCGCAGGGCCACTGCAGGTGCCGAGGAACTGGACCTCTGTTCCGCCTCCGGACTCTTACTGACCCCTCAAATGGGGGTACAATTAATAGAATCAGACCTCCAAGGACCCTTGAACCCAGGCACAGTGGGTCTCCTCCTGGGAAGATCATCCACTATTTTAAAGGGTCTTAAGGTACATCCTGGGGTAATCAACCCTGACTATAATGGTACAATAAAGATAATGGTAGAGTCACCTAGAGGGGTAGTAGCTATCTCCCTGGGAGACAGGATTGCCCAGCTTCTGCTTCTGCCCAGCCTACATGAGCTGTTTCCAGCACGGTCTAATGAAAGAGGAAAGGAATGTTGTGGCTCTATAGGAACAGATCTGACCTTTTTGTCCTTGGAATTAAATCAAAGACCAGTCCTAACACTTAATGTGGATGGAAAAAGGATTCTTGGCCTGCTAGACACGGGAGCAGACAAAAGCATTATAGCAAAAAAGGACTGGCCATCGGGTTGGCCTATACAGGCCTCCTCTCAAACCTTACGGGGGCTAGGGTATGCTAAGGCTCCGGATGTGAGTGCTAGACACCTACAGTGGAAAGATGAGGAGGGTCATTCTGGAACTATGCAGCCCTATGTCCTGGATCTTCCCGTCTCCTTGTGGGGGAGGGACTTGCTCAATGATATGGGCTTTAAGCTAAGCAATAAATTTTCAGCTGCCTCTCAACAAATGATGAGGGACATGGGATGCCATCCAAGTTTCGGGCTAGGAAAATATTTACAAGGAAATAGGGGGCCTGTTCAAGCACACCAGAGACACCCGAGGCAAGGGTTGGGTTTTTCCTAGGGGCTGCTGAGGGAGGTATTCCCATTACATGGAAGACGGAGGAGCCTATATGGGTTCCTCAGTGGCCACTTTCCTCCGAGAAATTGAGTGCAGCAAAAACCTTAGTCGCTGAACAGCTTGCCTTGGGACACATAAGGCCGTCCCTGTCGCCATGGAATACGCCCATCTTTGTCATTAAAAAAAATCAGGAAAACGGCACCTCTTACAGGACTTGAGAGCCATAAATAGCCAAATGCAAGCAATGGGCCCTGTACAGCGAGGGCTGCCGTTACTTTCTGCCTTACCGGCGTCTTGGCATGTTATTGCAATAGATATAAAAGATTGTTTTTTCTCTATCCCTCTCCATACGGAGGATTGTAAACGATTTGCCTTTACTGTCCCATCTTTAAATCATGAAGAGCCCGATCAGAGATTTGAATGGGTTGTGTTGCCCCAGGGAATGGCCAATAGCCCCACTATGTGTCAGCTCTATGTAGGACAGACCATTGAGCCATTAAGAAGGGAATTCCCCATCCTAAGATGTTTTCATTATATGGATGATGTGCTGTTAGCTGCCAAGGAAGAAAAATTTTTAGAAAAGGCATTTATTAGATTAATGTTTTTATTGGAGAATAAGGGATTGCTTGTGGCTCCCGAACAGATTCAAAAAGGAAAAATGGTGAATTATTTGGGCACAAAGGTTATCGGAGATCATATTATTCCACAAAAATTCGAGTTAAGAAAAGATAATTTAAAAACCTTAAATGATTTTCAAAAGTTGCTAGGAGAAATAAAATGGATTAGGTGTTTTATTAAGTTCCCTAATTATGATTTAAAGTCCTTGAATGATCTCTTAAATGGAGATCCAGCCTTGGATTCCCCCAGACAGTTAACCCCTGAAGCAAGGCTCGCCCTACGTAGGGTGGAAGAGAGACTACAAGATGCCTTCCTACAAAGATGCAAGGAGGGACAACCCGTCTTTGTATGTATACTTCCCACATATTATCAGCCTACGGGCCTGCTTTGGCAGGATGGACCTTTATTGTGGATTTATCCAAGCATATCCCCTGCTAAATCTATTGAGTATTATCCCACCGTGGTGGCTAGATTGGCTCAAAATGGCATCCAACAATGCTTACAACATTTTGGCATAGCCCCAAAAGTGATCATTGTGCCCTACACCAATGATCAAATTTATGTCCTTTGCACCACTATTGATGATTGGGCCATTTTAAGGTGTGGGTTTAAAGGGGATATAGATAATCATTATCCAAAACATCCATTAATAGGATTTTTTAAGGAGCACCCGGTAGTCTTTCCAAAAATAACTTCCAATGCTCCAGTCCCAGGTGCCCCCAATGTGTTCACAGATGGCTCAAAAACAGGATGTGGTACCTATATGGTGGGCTCTTCGGAACCCGTTCAGATACAGTTTCAACCCGGCTCTCCCCAAGTAGTAGAACTAGAGATTGTTGTTAAGGTTTTTGAAAATTGTTCTTTTGCCTTTAATCTTCTTTCGGATTCTGCCTATGTGGTTAATGCTATAAAGGTACTGGAAGCTGCTGGCCCTATTAGGTCCAGCAGTCCGGTCTGCACCCTGTTTCAAAGGCTTCAAATTTTGATCTGGCATCGAAAGTGTTGTTTTTTCATACAGCATGTCAGAGCACATACGGGCCTCCCGGGCCCCATAAGTGAGGGCAATAATAAAGTTGATCAATGGACCAGAATGGAGTATATATTCCTTTGTTCCACCCTGGATAGAGCCAGAGATTTTCATAAAAATTTTCATGTAAATGCCAAAACCTTACAACAGAAGTTTCATCTCTCCTGGGCTGATGCACGACAAGTCATCTTGGATTGTACTCAATGTGCCGTCCATCATCATCTGCCCTGTCTCGGAGTAAATCCTAGAGGATTGCTCCCCTTAAAGGTTTGGCAAATGGATGTTACTCATGTTGCTGAATTTGGCAGTCTAAAATATGTCCATGTATCTGTTGATACCTGCTCTGGAATTATCCATGCCACCCCTCTATCAGGCGAAAAGGCTCGCAATGTTGTCACCCATTGCCTGGAGGCTTGGGCAGCCTGGGGAAAACCCAGGCAGCTGAAAACTGATAATGGGCCAGCTTATACAACTCAGTCCTTTGCCTCCTTTTGCAAACAAATGGAGGTTCAACTGCATCATGGATTGCCATATAACCCACAAGGTCAGGGCATAGTAGAACGTGTCCATTGCACTCTAAAAGAATGTCTAAATAAACAAAAAGGGGGAATAGGCTATGGCCGCACCCCAAAAGAGAGGCTTTCTCTCGCCCTCTTTACTATAAATTTTTTAAATTTGGATGCTCAAGGTCGCTCTGCAGCTGACAGGCATCAAGACCCCCATGGTCCAAGCAAAGGCTTGGTAAAATGGAAGGACATCTTGACAGGCACATGGCATGGGCCTGATCCCGTGCTGACTTGGGCACGAGGTTCTGTTTGTGTTTTTCCACAGGACCAACAAGACCCCGTGTGGGTTCCAGAACGACTGGTGAGGAAGGCGCAGACGCCGCTGGATCCAAATGATGCAAATGCCACTCAGGCCACTCACCCCATGCCTTCCAATGATAATGATGATAATGACAATGGAGGTGGCGGAGCCTCGCTGGGGGATTCTATCGACCTTTCCAATGCCGATGCTGGTCCGCCATAATGCGCAAGTTTTCCCTTGGTTGTTTACCACCTCAAGCAAGCTTAACCTGCCCTCCCTTCCTTTAGATACCCAGGCATCCCCTATAGGGGAAAACCGGACTTTTCCTGAAAAGGAAAGTTTGTGTTTTACATTTTGACCAACAGCTCCTGCATTAAGTTAGCCTGCCATACTGCAGGATGGTTTTTTGATAAAGATAAATATCAATCCGGACAGAGTCAAAGTTGTAATTCCACCACCTGCCAGATGCATCTTATCACAAATTACTCTACCAATGTGGCCTGGATTAATGGTTCATGGCCAGTAGTAGCAAAGAGGAGTAATGATACCCCTCCTACTCAACCAAGGTGGGCACCCCGATGCTGGGGCCACTTTGAGGGGGAGGCCTGGCCCTGGACAAGTGAATTGGACAAATGAAGATAAACTATTCACCTTTTCCCCAGATATGGTAGGGAAGAATAAGGGTCTTTTAAATATCCCAGTCTTTGTTTTACCAGCGTACAGTTTGAAAATTATATACATGCTGCTAATTTGTCTAAACTTTCCAGTTATCTTCTAGGTAATTGGTCAGGGGAATTTGAAAAGGAACTTGACCAACTGCGCACAGCCATAGTGACAGTGAACTCCACCCACGTCAATTCCAGCATCGCAGAAGGATTGTCCTCCTGGATCAGGGCCACCATGGAACACTTAAAGGAGTGGGCGGGGATAGGGTCCCTACTTGGCCTGATGGCCACAGCCTCCCTGGTATGCCTGTAGTGCTTCTGTAATGCTCAGTCTAATCAGCACCGTAATGCAATGATGGTCATGCAAGCGTTTGCTGCTATTGAAGAAGGTTAGTCCCCCTCAGCCTGGCTGGCTACCTTTAAAAACTAATTTTCTCCGGTCGGGGTGCAAGGCTAAGCACTGCACGAGGGTTTGCTTGTAAGCAGTTAAGCTACCCTCGGAAGACAAGCCCGATTGCATGAAGGTTGTACCCAAGATCCTTCCCCTGGGAAAACAGGTACAGGATGGGTCAGGGTCACCACAGGCGTAGAGTCTGTAGGTGTCCCCTGTACATTATCCCAGCTTTGCACACCAGAGATCGGGCCTCTATCTTCACCCACCTTTGTTATATAAAAACAAAAAGGGGGAACTGTGGAGAGCTGCGCCACACCGCGCCTCAAAGATGGTGCAGGCTTCCACATTCCACCATCCCGACGGTGAGTGCGCTCGGTAATAAACAACTCCTTATTTGGCCTGCTACCATCCCGCCGGGGTCACGCCATCATCATCAGATTGCTTATGCATTCTGGTGAGCCTATGGCTTGCACACACGTGGCTGCTCAGGGTTGGCTGGCCTCGGCTATTTAGGGAGCAGGAGGGGTTTTTCCCGTGGCTGCCTCCACGCTGTCTCAAGGTTCCTGAATAAACCGCTGATGAGAAGGATTCCTGAGTCGTGTCTTCCTTGCTGGTCGAGGTAGTCGTGACACTGGGCTTTAGGCGGTTTTGTGGTTCCAATGGGTAAAGTAGGAATGTCACCTGCACCATCCCTACTTCAGCCCAAACGTCTTTGTCAAGCCGATTTGGGATCCTTTCGACACTCACGTGCAAAAAAAAAAAAAAAAAAAAAAAGTCACTGTTTGCCATAAAAGTTAAAACCCATCTGAAAAGTGGTTCCATGCTAACATTTTTTCCATCTCACACCTGACTGCATCCCAGGCCCTGGAAGACTTTCCCCCACTCGCCACCACTGGAGCAGCTGCAAGAAGCCAGCAGAAGTACTCAGGGGGTTCGCACTGGAGATGAGATTGATTTTTTTCTAATACTAATAGTGGAAATAATAGTGCAGCAGGCTGTCGAGGCTGGCCTGGCATCTGCCACACTTGCTGCCTTCCATTCCCTGAATACAATCCCAGCCCTGTTCCGAGTCCCGCCAGCCATTTAAGAGTCATGAGGTCATCCCAGCTGCGACTGTAGCCTGGGAAGGAGTTGGCCTGGCCTGCCTCCCATCCCCCTCCAGATGGAAACGTCCTCTGCCAAAATTCAGATGCTGTGTGAGTGTGAGGTGTGTGTGTGTGTGAGAGAGAGAGAGAGAGACACAGAGAGAGAGAGAGACAGACAGAGACAGAGACAGACAGACAGACAGACAGTACACCAGAGACCCAGTGTTGATGGACGATGGAAGGGGAGAAACATCTTCCCAGCCAAAGCTAGTCATCAGGCGGCCTAGAATTCAGCATGTCACTTCGGTCCCCTCTTCCAGCAGGGCCAGGAGATATGAACCATTTTGACTCGGGATATAGGACACAGAAGGCCTCCAGCATGCCAGCCAGGTATTAAGCGTGGTTCCACTCAATAAACCCAGGAGGGCATGTGGGCAGTTTAACAACTGGGGGGCTACAGGTGTGGGGACCGGAAACAAGGCCCGAGTTGGGGGGCCCGGCCTCCTGCCTGGCCTGTGGCAGTGGAAAAAGTAACATGTGTGCCAGCCCCCCTGGCCCAGACAGCCTCCACGGACCCTGGTTTTACAACGGTCTGTGAGGCATTTCACCCAGGCACCTGGCAGAGTTTCTCCATTAGCGCTGCCTCAGGCGGATGGGAAGATGAGCCCCCTGGGCTTCCCCAGGACCTGAGCCTCCAGGCCCAAGTTCAGGTTCAGATGTTTGCAGGGCATCCTTCAGGCCAAGCTGGGATAGCACAGTGCTTGCTTTGATGAGGGGCCCTCACCTCACGGCCTGCTGGGTCTGCCTGGACCTTTTGACCACCCCAAGTTTCCTTTTTCCTTGGAGGGTTGTGAAGGTGAGAAATGTCAGTCCCTGCCAGCATTTGGCTGCCACAAAAGGGGGACAACGCGTTGCCACCAGCCACCGAGTGGCTCTGGTGACCTCATCTTCTGCTGAAGGAAGCTCTTAGAGCAGAAGTTCTCAACCTGTGGGTCGTGACCCATTCGGGGGGGGGTCACATATCAAATATCCTGTATATCAGATGTTTACGCTACAACTCCTAAGATTAGCAAAATGACAGTATGAATTAGCAGCGATGTGATTCTCTGGTTGGGGGGGGTCCCCGCAACGTGGGGAGCTGTGTTAAAGGGTCACAGTGTTAGGAAGGTTGAGAACCACTGCCTTAGAGACACTTGAGGGTCTACTGCACCCCATCTCTGCTCTCCCATCAGCGTCTTCCCCTGACCGTCAGCTCCTCTGACGTCCAACCATAGCACCACAGCACCACAGCACGCCGTCATATGCTTGTGAGCCTCGGAGAAACAGATTGGGCCTCCCAACGTGTCTGGGAATTCGCCCTGGGATATCTATGAAGCTGAAGGTTCTGACAAGGGAGGGTCTGGGGAATGAGCAGCAGGATCCTAGGCTGTGGACGCTGTGCCTCCAGTGTGTTTCGAACGTGCGATGTCTCCCACAGGCTTGTGTGTTTGAACACTCGGCCCCTTGATGGCTACACTGCTTGGGGGGAAGTTGTGGAACTCCTAGAGGAAGTAAACAGGACTTGAGATTACTTATTGTCTAGTTTTGTTTTTTTACCTGTGTGTGAATACCCGAGTGAGTTTATGTGGACTTCGCGCAGCCAGTACCCAATAGTGGCCAGAAGATGCGACTTCACGGTAGTTGTGATCTAACCCTGTGGGTACTGGAAACCGAGGCCCGGTCTGTGAAAGAAGCCAGTGCTTTCAGCTGCGCGGCCGTTTCTGCACCTCCTGTTCATGCTTTGCCTCCCGACAGCAGATGCACTGTGTCCATCTGGCCTGCTCCTCGGGTGGCATTGACAGAAGTGTCCTCTCCAGCTGAAAAAACCACAATAAAGCATCTCTTCTTGAAACTGCTCCCTGCTGGGTGTTTTTGCCACAGGAACGAGGAAAATAGCCAACGCAGCCCCTCCACCCGAACGCGTCTGCTCAAGCTTAGCACCGGTTGCGATGGTGTCAGGAGACTGGGACTTAGGGAAGCAATGAGGGACTAAGGACGGTGTCCCGAGGGACAGGGTTGGTACCCTTAAGGGAGGAACCGAGACATCTGCCTTGTCCCTCCGTTAGGACACAGCAAGAAGGCACTGTCTGTGGAGCAGGAAGTGGACCTCAGTTAGATCCTGTGGTCTTGGACTTCCTAGCCATGAGAAACATGCTGGTGTCATCCATGAGCCACCCAGTCCTGCCTGTCTCTGACACACACACACACACACACACACACACACACACACACACAGAGAGAGAGAGAGAGAGAGAGAGACAGAGAGAGAGACAGAGACAGAGAGAGACAGAGACAGAGACAGAGAGTTCTGTCTTCTGTCTTTCTCTCTCATACACACAGGCCTCTGATACACACACACCCACAGAGTCCTCTCTCTCTTTCACACACACATATGCACACACAAAGTTCTCTCTCTCTCTCCTCTGTCTCTCTCTCTCTCTCTCTCTCTCACACACACACACACACTGCTCTCTGTCTCATATTCTCACCATAGTCCTGTCTCTGGCGCACACACACACACACACACACACACACACACACACACACAGAGTCCTCTCTCTCATACACACACACAGTCTTCTCTTTCTCTCTCTCTCTCTCTCTCTCTCTCTCTCTCACACACACACACACACACACACACACACACACACACACTCCTGTCTCTTCCTCACACCATCCCCCGGCACTCCTTCTTCCTCACGAACATGGAATTCCATAGCTCTGCCTTACACGCCAATTCCCGCTGTCCTTTGGCAATGAGAAGAAAGGCCAACCGAGAAAGATGGCGAGAGGCTGGATATAAAGACAAGAGAAGACCATGAAGAGGGTGAAGGGTGCAGATGTTAGGAACCAACATGGTGCTGGTTGGTAGCACTTTGGAGGGAGGGCCAGAGAGAGCACAGGAGCCATGTCTCACTCCCCCACTTTGGTGAAACCACCCTCTTGTGGGTGCCCTTTACAGGGGTGGCGGTGGGGGGGACCCACTGTGTTGCTGCTTAGGGGATGTGACAAGGAGGAAACAGAAATTCGTGGGGGAATGGCTGAAACAGGCCTGGAGGCCATTTCTCTCATCTCTTTTACCCAAAGAAGTAACTTCAAAGTTGAGTAGCTTGTTTTAGTTACTTCTTTAAAAGCAGAAAGAAACTGTGCAGTGTGGACTCGAGAGATGGCCTAATAGTTAAGACCATAGATTGTTTCTGCGGGGCACCTGGGTTCCATTCCAAGCATCCACGCTGTAACTCTAGCTCCAAGGGATCTCACACTCTCTTCTGGCCTCTATGGACACCAGGCATGCTCATACACATGGATAAGCACTCATGCATAAAGAGTAAAAAGTAAATAAAGCTTTAAAAGTATTGTTGTGTCTTCATACATTCAGGCTTGTATCCCAGAGACAATAAAAAATAGATAGATAGATAGATAGATAGATAGATAGATAGATAGATAGATAGATAGATAGATCCTCCTCACTTCCCCCACAGAGCCACTAACAAACCAGGGAAGCCAACAGGAAGCAAGTACAAACAGTAGATTTCAAAACGCGGGGGTCACTAGGCGTGGTAGTGTATGCCTTCAGTCCCAGGGCACAAGAGGCAAAGGCAGGCAGATCCAGCCTCATAATAAATGCAAGGTGGTGTAGCATCCCCAACTGCAATCCTAGAAATCGGGATGGAAGGGCTGAGGATCTCCAGAGCAAGATGGCTAGCTGGGCTTGGTGAGTTCTGGGTTAAGATGAGAGACTCTGCCCAATGTATAAAGTAGGAGGAAAGTCATCAAGAAAGGCACCTGATGCTGCCCTCTGGTCTCCAAACACCTGCACAGGTATTCCTACACACTTGCACCCGCACACCCACCGGCCCACAGACGTGCGTGCATACAGGACACACGTGCACACGCAGGAAAAGACAACGTGGCCCCGAGTGTGTGTGGAAGTACGCTCGGAGGATAAAAAAGAGTTTCCTCCTATCATTTACCTTCAGTACTGTTCTGGAGACTCCTGTGTGTGCATTCAGAGAGGTTGACGCAAGTCACCAAAGCCCTGGCTTTCGTGTCGCAAACCAAAGAATGCAACGTGACATTTAGATGGAACATCCATTTTCTAAAAGTTTATGAACTGCTCTTTCATCCTCTGGAGCAGTGGTTCTCGCATCCCTGATGCTGCGACCCTTTGATACGGTTCCTTGTGTTGGGGTGACCCCCAACCACAAGGTCGTTTCCGTTGTTACTTCATAACTATAGTTCCGCTACTGCGTGAATCATAATGTCAGTATCTGATGTGTGATTTCCCCCCAAAATGGGTCATGACCCACATGTTGAGAACCACTGCTCTAGAAGGTGATTTTCAGGGCTCTATGTAATGAGCAGAAACTCAAGCTGGTTTTCCCAGGACGTGTATGCTGGCCCTTTATATGGAGGCAGACTTGAAGAAGGCTCCACCTGGCGTTCTCACAACTGGACCTACCTCTCTCTTCACTGTGGGTGTTGAGCCAGTATAAAAGCTGTTCTTTTTGCTGTTGTTGTTTGAAATGAACATGTGGTCTCTGCTGCATAAAGGGGGTTTTGCGCAGGTCCCGGGTGTGCACTGGGGGCAGCAGAGGCGGCTGGGTGCTCTGTCTGCACCCTGCTTCCATCAGATGGGGACCGCATCATTTTTGCCTTATTTAGACAGAGATGCGCTTTTTACTACGACACTGACCGTTTGTTAGCACAGAGAGAGAGACAGAGCGGCTCACAGTGTTGAGTCCCTTATCTAGCATTGTTTATGTTCCAAAAATAATTTAATTAGCTTAATAAACAAACGCATTCTCAGTCCATAAACAAAGAGAGCTCAGGAAAAGAGAATCTAATGTTCCACAGGGCAGAAAAGAAAAGTAGAGAAGTCACGTTATCCCCAGGTCCTCCTTCCCTTGTACTGTCTGTACAACTCCTAAAAGACAGACAAAACCCCAGCATGGAGAAGGGGGAACATTTTGGATAATCATTCTTGGGACTTTGCATCTCTCTTCCAACCATGTTGATTATTGACTGGACCTCTGAACGGTAAGAGAGACACCCAATTGAATGTTTTTTCAATTATACGAGTTACCACGGTCATGGTATCACTTACACAGCAACAGAAACCCTAACTAAGACACTCCCCGACTTGATTTTGGTCATGGTGTTTCATCGTAGAAGTAGAAACCCTAACTGCTCAGTTGGAAGCTCTGCTTCTGCCCGACTCCAACCCCATCCCAAACCCTGCCCCTCTCAGAAAGCTAGCTCCTCCCCTAGAGGACCACACCTACAGGGTCTTTAAACTGCCTTCCAGGGAGCAAGCACCTAGTTTTCCCCAGTCTCCTCTCCCTCATCTCATCTCTGGGGCAGGGGGCACAAAAGATCACCAGGGAATGCTTTGCCCAGTATGCCTTGTCTTTTATCTTTAACTCAGCTTGAGTTGGCTTTACCGCACCTGTGGAGAGGAGACTTATTAACAGGGTACAGAAACCTTTCACTAACTACAACAACCGCTGATGATGAGGTGCTTTTGGGCTGCTGGGGAATCCCTAAAGGACACGAAAAGTTATCAGGGGACCCGAGAGAAAGAGAAGACCACGGCAAAAGAGGCAGACTTGGGGAAGGACTGGAGACCTTGGTGCAGAGCAAGCCACTCGAGGTGTTGCATGGAGTGGCAGGACAGACTAAGGGCTCAATATTTCTTTTTCTGCAAGCTTGCCAGGATGTCTAAGGCTCATGGAACATCAAAGAAAGGAGAGGGGGTGTAAGAGCCAGAGGACCAGGATATCTGCTGGGAGAAAATGTCTCCTATGTACGACAGGAAGCCACACCCACGGCTTCCCAAACAAGACCCAGACAACGATGATAGCAGTCGACATGTCAACTTGGATGGCGGAACTTCACAAAGTCCCACGCCTAGATGAAAAAGAATAGGCAATTAACGGCTTCTGAGAGAGTCATTCTTCTCCAGGAACAAGATGTGTGATAGGTTATCCCACTCCAAGTTATCAGCCCTAAACATGTATGCATAAGAACACCACCAAGGGGATTTAGCTTGACATGTGCAGGGGTTTGGTTCAACTAAGTGGCTGGTGTCAGTACAAACTTTGGGAGTCTGGCCCTCAGTCATTTATTTTAGGCATATTTAAGCACACGGAACAATTTGGTGAAAACTTTCCTGGTGACTATTAACTCAATCTTATGGGAGAATAAAGCATACATATAAGCATACATATATCTTCTTGAGTTAAGCCAAGTAAATAATGGCGGTGACCATATTTATACTCTTTATAAAGTACATGTGACACTGTAATGAGTCTTTGTACTGTCAGCCCCCAAATAATGACATGGAGACTTATTATTAATTATGAGAGCTAGGCCATTAGCTTAGGTTTGTCCCACTAGTTCTTACAACTTAAATTAACCTGCCTTTATTAATCTATATTCTTCCATGTGGCTCAGTTACCTCTACTCTATACTGCATGTCTGACCTCATCAGTATCTCCCTGCTGTCTGGATGATGTAATCCACATGCCTTGACTCCTCATCCTCTTCCTCTCCTTCTCTCTTTTTCTCTCTCTCTTTCTCCCTCCCTCCCCCTCTCTCTCCAGAAATCCTGCCTAGCTATTGGTCATCCAGTTATCTATCACCCCAACCACAGCAATACATCTTCACACAGTGCATAAATATACCACGACAAGACACCTTCTATAAAGACGGGCTGTATAGACTGAGAAAAACAAGCTCACGATAAGGGTCTCAGGGAAGGTCCAATGTGGTTTTAGTCTCTCAGATAGGGCAAGGGTCACTAGGATAATCACTA